TTTCCTTTCCTTTCCTTTCCTTTCCTTTCCTTTCCTTTCCTTTCCTTTCCTTTCCTTTCCTTTCCTTTCCTTTCCTTTCCTTTCCTTTCCAGTAGTTAGAATGCAGTATTGCAGGCTGCCCACTGCCAGCAGTTCGATCCTGACTGGCTCCAGGTTGACTCAAACTTCCATCCTTCCAAGGTCAGGAAAATGTGGACCCAGATTGTTGGGGGCAACAGGCCGACTCTGTAAACAGCTTAGAGAGGGCTGCAAAGCACTATGAAGTGGCATATAAGTCTTAAGTGCTATTATCCTTCCTTCCTTCCTCCCTTCCTTCCTTTCCTTCCCAGTGATTAGAATGCAGTATTGCAGGCTGCCCACTGCCAGCAGTTCAATCCTAACCGGCTCAAGGTTGACTCGGCCTTTTGTCCTTCCGAGGTGGGCAAAACGAGGACGCAGATTGTTGCGGGTCAACATGCCGACTCTGTTAACTGCTTGGAGAGGGCTGGAAAGCAGCATATAAGTCTAAGCGCTATGGCTAAAGCATCAAATCCTTAACCCAGGTTAGCCTAGGGCGTTGGGCCAATGCAACCACCCGACCGACCTGACCCGATTTAAGCGTGTTGTGCGAACACAGGAACACCCCCCCCCACGATGGAAACCCGTTGGCTCTCCCCTGGAAAGTCTCCCCCATCCCCACGCCCGACTGCGCCTCTCCTATCACCTCGAACCAGCTCCTTGGCCTCTTCGGACACGTTCTTCCACGCTTCGCTCTCCAGGGAGAACCGCCCTTCCTTGATTTTGTGCATGATGTCCGCGGCATGGCTGGCCGCGCTGCCTTCCTGGCTACTGTGGAAGGGGACTTGGCCAGACAGCATAGTGTACTGGAAGGAGGAGAAAAGAGATGAGCCGAAGGGGAACGCAGCCACGTCGCCTCTCCCCGTGTGACTCGCAGCCTGTCCTACTTCGAAGGGTGGTGGTTAAAAAAAAGAGAGATGAAACAGGGAGCTTTGACTGTCCTGAATCCCTGGTTACCCTCAATGCCCCCCAAACAATTAACAAAATCGCGGAGGTCCTCGGGGCTCTCCGGGCGTGGTTGTTTTCCTGCAGACGTTTCATGACCCAACTAGGGAACATCATCCGTGCTAGAAGGGAGGGAGGATTGCGAAATGTAGAAGAAAGAGAATGGGGGGAGAAGAAAGAGGACTGTGAGGTCCTTGGGGCTCTCTGAGCTGGGTGGTTTTCTTGCAGACGTTTCACGACCCAACTAGGGAACATCATCCGTGCTAGAAGAAAAGGGGTGGCGGAGAAGAGGAAGGGGAGAAGGCGTGGGGCTGTGGGGTCCTTGGTGTTCTGAGCTGAGGGATGTTTGGGTCGCTGAAACATTCTTGAGCAGACATTTCATGACCCAACTAGGGAACTTCATCAATGCTAGAAGGGAGTGGGGAGGAGGAAGAGGAGGACGGCGGGGTCCTTAGCGCTCTCTAAGCTTGGCTGTTTTTTTTGCAAACTGTTTCATGACCCAACTAGGTAACATCATCAGTGCTAAAAGGAAGTGGGGTTGACACTCATGTTCTTTTAGTACTGATGATGTTACCTAGTTGGGTCATGAAATGTTTGCCAAAAAACAACCAAGCTCAGAGCACCAAGAACCCCCTAGTCGTCATTTTTTTCCTCCTCCTCCTCCTCCTCCTCCTCCTCCTCCTCCTCCTCCTCCTCCTCCTCCTCCTCCTCCTCCTCCTCAAACCCCTCTCCCTTCTAGCACTGATGATGTTACCAAGTCAGGCCATGAAACATCTCCAGGAAAACCACCCAGCTTGGAGAACACCAAGGACCCCATAATTCTTCTCTTCCTCCTTCCTCCTTCTAGCACTGATGATGTTCCCTAGTTGGGTCATGAAACGTCTGCAAAAAAAACCCCAGCCAAGCTCAGAGAGCACCAAGGACCCCACAGTCCTCCCCCTCCCTCCCCTTCCTTCCTTCCTTCCTTCCTTCCTTCCTTCCTTCCTTCCTCTTCCTCCTCCTCGCAAACTCCCATCCCTTCTAGCATTGATGATGTTACCTAGTTGGGTCATGAAACGTCTGCAAAAAAAAAAAAAAAACAGCGAAGCTCAAGAGAGCCCCAAGCACCCCACAATTCAACCCTAGAAATTATTCTCTCCCATTTGTTAAAAAAATCCAATGGGCTCTTTGTCTAACCGACTCCCAAGTTTGCGCCAGATATGTCATCCTCCCACCTCCAGCTCCGCCAACAGCCGAAAGAACGTTAACTCTCTGGAGATGCTTAATGCATAATTATTAGAATTTTTTGTTCTTACTCCCTTCCCCCCCCCCACGCCCCCCCCACAAGCCACACATTTGTATCTATAGTTACAAGCAGTTCTGAATCTTAACCAGGAAATCGAATGACACGTGCAACCGCCAAGCCAAATGCCCCTCGCGCGCGCACACACGCACGCACACGCTGTGTGTGACCCAGGAGCCATCCAACTCTGCTGCACTTCGATTCCCACAGTCCCGTCCCCCCCGCCCCTCCTGGCCAACATGGGCGTGGCTCTCCTGGCTGGGGGAATGTCGGGTCTTGAACGCCCATACTTTGGATTGCAAAAAAGGCCACCCTCGATGCTTCGTGCTTCTGTCGATAAGGGAGAATATTTGTAGCTCAGGGGTCCTTGAAAAGAGGGGTGCTTGGTGCTCTTCTGAGCTTGGTGGGTTTTTATTGCAGACGTTTCGTGACCCAACTAGGTAACATCATCAGTGCTAGCTGACAGTCCTCCTCCTCTTCCTCCCTGTAAACCCCACTCCCTTCTAGCATTGATGATGTAATTTAGTTGGCTCTTGAAACATCTGCAAGAAAAACACCAAACTCAGACAGCACCAAGGACCCCACAGTCGTCCTCCTCCTCCTCCTCCTCCTCCTCCATCATCCCCACTCCCTTCTAGCACTGATGGCGTGACCTAGTTGGGTCATGAAATGTCTGGAAGAAAACCACCAAGCTCAGAGAGCACCAAGGACCCCACAGTTGTCCTCCTTTTCCTCTTCCTCTTCCTCCTTTTCCTTCTCCTTTCCTCCTCCTTTCCTCCTCCTCGATCCCCACTCCCTTCTAGCACTGATGACGTGACCTCGTTGGGTAACGAAACGTCTGCAAGAAACCAACCAAGCTTGGAGAGCGCCCAAGGGCCCCTCACTGGTAACTTAAGATATACCGCACGCAAACGTCGCTCGACGACTTCGATGAACGGCTCTCCCCGCCCCTTCCGACGGGTTCAACCTACCAAGATCACCCCCAGGCTCCAGAGATCGCAAGACTCGTCGTAACCCCCGTCCTGGAAAAGTTCAGGGGCCGCGTACTGGAGGGTGAAGCAGGGGGTCTGCATGGGCTGCGAGTTCTGAGGGCAGAGGCGGGCAAAGCCGAAGTCGATCACCTTCACGGGAGCGCCCTCCGACTCGTCTGCGTAGAGAATATTCTAGGAGCAAAGTCACAAGGCAATTACAGGATAATCCTCGAACTTACGACAGTTCACTGAGCGACCGAAGTTGCGACAGCGCTGAAAAAAAAGGGACCTATGGCTGTTTTTCACACTTAACGACCGTTGGCAGCATCCCTTCGGTCGCGTGATTTATATTCGGCAACTGATTCGCATTTGCAACAGTCATAACCCTGGGGTCACGCGGTCCCTTTTTGCGGCCTTCCGACAAGCAAAGTCAGCGGGAGAAGCCGGATTCACTTAACAACCGTGTGACTACCTTAACGGCTGCGGTGATTTGCGAAACGCACGGGGCAAGGGAAGTCGTAAAATGGGACAAAACTCGCTTAAGAAATTTCTCCCTTAGCGACATAAGCTCCATCGCAGTCGTAAATCCTTGTATTGTTAATCCTTGAGCGCTAAATTGGGGGATTTTTGTGGCTTGCCCTATGGGTTTAAACATGGTTTGTTGCAACATGGTTAACTGATCCAGGCATAGTTTGCAGTCTTCTCAGGATACGCTCGTAACTCTGTAAAGTTGGCTTCCAAATATTGCCTTGATATGATTTACTTGCTATGGAAAGTTTTAAATTTTGTTTTTTTAAACAAAACTAGAATTATACATTTCAAAATAACAACAGCTCATTTTCAATATATTGGCCTTCTCGCAACTTTTATCAAACATTCATTCACTGCATTTCAGATCGTATTTAACCATTCCTGATCCCGAAACCAGCGATAGACATTTTATCCCAAAAAACACAAGAAAATAAAGACATTGGTGAGCCGCGGTGGTGCAGTGGTTAGAGTGCAGTACTGCCGGCTGCTTCTGCTGCCTGCCGGCTGCCTGCAATTTGGCAGTTCAGATCTCGCCAGGCTCCAGGTTGACTCAGCCTCCCGTCCTTCCGCGGTCAGTAAAACGAGCCTAAGTGCTATCGCTATTGCTACCTTGCAATTTGACTTTCAAGCAAATAGAAAAAGGGGGGGAAAAAAAGTGGGTCAGGTTGAAAACAGAAAACTTCTATCAATGCAATTTTGGGGTTCTTTCTCCAAGTGGCTTCCCTGGGAACACAGCCTCCCCCTTTTCCTAGCGTACCTCGGGCTTGAGGTCCCGATGCACCACGCCCGAGTCGTGCATAAAACTGACGGCGGAGACCAAGCTGCGCATGATCTGGCTGGCTTCCGACTCGCTGAAGTGCTGTTTCTTCTTGATGCGGTCCAGGAGTTCTCCGCCCTTCAGCAATTCCGTCACCAAGTACGTGTGATACTACGGACGAGGAAGGACAAAAAGGGACAAAACTTATCCAATTGGCTGCTCGACACCTTGAAGACATGGATAATTCTGTCCCGTTCCTCATCATTGGTTTAGTACTCGACGTGCAATCTTTGTCAGTGTCAGCTGCCTTGTGGCTCACTCTATTAGGAGCCTCCAAAATTTTGGACCTCAGGGATCACCAAACTCATAATTTTAAATCCTGCAGACCAGAGATCCTGGGAAAATCCCCCCAAAAAAATGTCTGCAGGAAAATCCCCCACCCCGTTTTCCTACTGATCGATCGTTCTTTATTTGGGATCGCAGGATACCATCTCCAGCTGCGTTCTCAGGGAGGGAGAGAGAGAGACTTTTGGCTTCATGCAAGGAAAACAGCAGAAGCAGCAGAAGTCTTTCTTTCTCTCCCACAAACTCTGCCAGAAATGAGTCTTTGCCGGCGCAGCCTCTTGGAGCAGGAGGCCTTGCAGGGTCCCAAAGACTCATTTCTGGCGGAGTTTGGGGGAGAGAAAAAAAGACTTTGGCTGCTTTCCTTGCGTGCAGCCCAAAGCAGAAGAAGAAAGAAGCGGAAAGAAGCAGCCCATGGCCAGGCCAGGCGTGTGGGATGAGTGGGACAAGTTCCCCCTTCTGCCCTTTCCGTCTTCCCCTCGCTACCTCATGTTGTTCGCAATGCAAGCGACGCAAGCCTTGTTTTCTCACGTAGCCTGCATTAATTGCTTTGATGGGTGCTTTGGGGGTAACATTTCTCTGCGGACCACCAACATTTTCTCGCAGACCACCCGGGGTCCTCGGCAACCACTGCCCTACACCATTTCTGACAAATGGCAGTCCAGCCTCTCGAACGTTTCAAGTGACGAAGCCTTAACCAGGTTGGGGGTCTCGGGAGGCTGCCTCTCCCAAGAATGAGGCTCCTCACCTGGTCGTGGTGAACGTCGTGAAGCTTGACGATGTTCGGGTGAGTTTCGCAGATCTGCAAAGCCGCCACCTCTCGCTGGGTGTTGACTTCCATCCTGAACCGGGGGAAAAGGAGGAGAAAGATGTCACCTGTCCCATCACAGCCCATTCCACAACTATAAAGTCCGTTTCCCCCCGCATTTCTTTGCCTTTGCAATCCATCAGCCTCTGTTTTCGGCGTAGCGCCAGTTTTAATTTAGCAACAGCCTCTTCAGCTAGCTTAGCAGCACCTCTGACCTGACCTCCCTACCCAAAGTGGGATATCTTAATTTCAGGGATTCGAACACAAGCCCGATGAGGAGCGAAAAAGTTTTCTCGGTCTTCCCACGCCACGCGTCGTGTTCTCATTGAAGCGACAGGACTGAAAATGGATTTTTCCCTTGCTAGATGATATTAATAACCCAGGCCGCCCACTTAAATCTGGCTCAAGATTTGACTGAGCCGTTAGCAGTATAGACCAATTTCAGCTGTTGCAGGCTTGAATAAGCAAAACACCAGTTAGGGCCTTTGTCCCTTTAAAAGGCGGAGCGTTAGAAGACGCTTCCGATTGGCTGCTTCCATAGGTCCCTCCTGATTGGCTGAGGCCATGTGTATAAATGCCCCTGCTCACAGCTTCCCTGGGGCATTTTGCGTGCTGCATCCAAGCGGGAGTTTCTGGGTCAGAAATCCGAAATCGACTCAGCATAAAAAGAACCAAAATTAAAATAAAATAAATAATAAATACAATAAAGATCTATAAAATAAAATATGAATTAAAGATAAAATATGAAATGCAAAATAAAGATAAAATATGAAATATAAAATAAAGATAATATAAAATAAATTATAAAATAATAATAAAATATAAAATAAAATAGAACTTTCTGGATGGAAGAGGCTAGCTAAGGGGCAAAACACCCTTTGGAGAAAAGAAATAAAAGTTTATTTTATATTATTTGTAATCTACCTTTTGCTGATGATTTTGACCGCAAATTCTGTCCCGTTTTGTCGATGTCGGCAACGGCGGCAGACAGAGAAGCTTCCCTCGCCTAGGGGAGGCTCCACCAAGTCCATCTCGTATTTTTGGAAGAATGAAGAATCCTGAGAGAGAGAAAGGAGAGAGAAGGAGGGAGTTAGCAAGTGAGAATGGGGATCCTTGCCCTTCGCATTGCAAGTAGAATCACTTAATTTGGCTTCTAAATGACCTCAAATGCATACAAACTCTGTGGATCCAATTAACACCTGGCCTATCATGAAAACTTTTGACTTTCAACTTCCTGGCAGGAACCTGGTGATTTTCTATAGGTAGTCCTTGAATTACGACCATAATTCACTCCAAAGTTACAGTCACAAGCCCTGGCAGCCATTAAGCAGGTTATAAAGTCGAATGGGGGTGTCAGATTCCCTTAACGACCACCCTATTAACAACTGTGGTGATTCACTTAACGGTGGCACAAAAGCTCGTAAAATGAGGCAAAATTCACTTAGCCGACGTTTCACTTAGCACCACAAAAATTTGGGGCTCAACCGTGGTCATAACTCGAGGACTACCTGTACTTCAATAAGACCCGGGAAACTTCAGATATCCCCATTGCAGTGTTCGAAGCGAGTTGTGTGAACCCGGCCCCTCTGGTTTGTAAGCCAGGAATTTCATTGTCATATTTCATCGTTCAGCATTTGCACCAAGACAAATTCCTTGTGTGTCCAATCACACTTGGCCAATAAAGAATTCTATCTATCTATACATTGAGCGGTTCCACCATCCGCAAAATTTGCCCCACTTGTTCAGGAAGGATCCCAGCAATTGCCCTAATTGAATCATGATTCTCGAGCCAAACTTCAAAAACCTGCATTTAGAGGCAACATACTGGCACTTCCCTATATGAAGCCAACTCTGGCATACGTCATTTCCTGTGACCCTGTTTCCCCCCCCTCCCCCCTGAGGGTCTTATAAACCAGGTTCTCCAATTGAGCACCTTCATGGGCTGGGTGTCATCATTCACATTCTCCAATTAAATATATTCGCGGGCAAAAGCTCTGGTATTTTAGTTACAATCTTTTAAAGAGAAGAGTTGGAATGTGCTTTTGCTTCCAAACTGCTGCACTGCTCTTCCAAATTTCCTCCCCCCCCCTTTTTTTTTTTTAATGGCAACTACTAAAACAGGCCTAGGAATGTTTTATGAGTTGACATCACTCTCCTACGGCTTCCTGCTCCTCCTTCCGAGGACAGTTTCCCCCCTTACCTTCATCATGGCACTGCGGGCCACCGCAGATCTTCCGGGACGCTCTCCGTCGTACGCTGCCTCAAGTACGTCAGCAGTCACAGCATTACGGTTGAAGAGGATTGACGGGGCAATGAAAGAATATCCCTTTTGGAAAGAAAAAACAGGAAGAGCATTGCAATCACAGCCTCAGAGAGAAATGTGGGAATTAAAACACGTCTAGCCTAAGGAAGGGAAGAATTGGGTGATATGAGAGCTGTTGTCATGCCCTTGGTAGAGTTGGACTCTAAGGGAGAGGAGGAACAGCAGACCCCTGGAGGTGTGGCTCCAGAGGTTGTGGAGGAGGCTGGGGAAGGGCAGAAGCCGGCTGGGCAGTCAGAGGCCCATCCCCTCTGCGTCCTAGGGCATGCAGGGAGGAATGGAGAAGGAAGCAACTTGGTTTATGAGAGAGGAAGCGGCCATGATCTCCCTCAATGGTTGCAGCTGGGGAGAATAGTATATGAGAGAGACGGTTAAAACACAGGGTTGCCAGAAGCAAAGTGTGTTTTATCTTGGGCTGAAGTTATCTTGGTTGGCGTCCTTCCAACAGAAGTTGATAATTACTTATCCTGATCGTTGTGGATATTCCTTCATTGTAGTTTGTTGGGGTTTTTTCTTTCACCTTTATCTGCTCATTAAGTTCGGACTGTATTGCTTTCCTTTGAAGGCTATTTTTGAGTACGTTTAATTCCAGCTGAGAATTATTAAACAGTCCAAGTTGGAGGCATTAAAGGACATTTGTTTACGTTTTGGATTTTGTTACGTTTGTGTTACACTCCGGGTTATCACACTGTCTTCCAATATCTGAGGGGCTGCCCCAAAGAAGAGGAGGGGGTCGACCTATTTTGGAGTCCAAAGCACCAGAAGGCAGGACAAGAAACAATGGAGGGAAATTAATCAAAGGGAGAAGCAACCTGGAACTCAGGAGGAACTTCCTGCCTAAGCCGGGGGTTGGACTAGAAGACCTCCAAAGTCCCTTCCAACTCTTATTATTCTGTATTCTGATTTACACAAGATCAGCAAGCACAAAGTTGACATCCAGGCATGAATCTTCCATCTCTTTACCCACCACCATTATATATTTTTCTGACCCACTCACCTTTCGTTGGGGGAATCAAAATTTGTTGGGGGGATCGAGCGCCCGAATTTTGATCACATGACCCGAGGATGCTTCAGTGGGTTTATAAGTCACTTTTTTTGAGGACCTGCTTGTAACTTTGAATGGTTGTTAAGTCGAGGATTGCCCCTCTTGGCGTTCTCGCACAGGAGGTGAGCAGTCAAGCATCTCTTCATGAACTATTAAGAGCACCCCGTACTTGGGGTGTCATTTCACCTAAAAGACCCCTGAAATTTCAGCCCAGCCTGCAAGAGATCTACCCACCGTTTGCTGGCCGGTTGCTAAGGAAAAGGAGGAAGTTTGAGGGAACATTTTGAAATTTGCCAAGCCCTCCCAAAAAATCTAGTCCTCCAAGATGGGGGGAAAAAAAAACCCCTATTTTTATTCTGTTCCTCCGTCTTCACAGATGAGTAAGTTTGTGCAGGGCACTTCCTGAAATGATTTAGATCGTGAAAGAAAGAAAAAAAAAACGGCCCCATTTGGTTTCAAAGCGAAAACCACAATTTTTCTGGCCTTTTTTTTTAACCTCTCGGAAAGATCTTTTCAAAAGCCCTCCGATCACTTCCCTTCTCCCTGCGGCTTATGTTCATTCAATCCTCCCATGTCCAAGTTCTTTGAGGCCCCTTGTCCAGCAAGTCTGAGTACGTAGAGCAATCCAAAGCAGCGAAATGACAATTTGGGCCGCTTCATTTTAATGTTACCGCCTTGAACTTACACGTCCCAAGGTGCCTGCTCTGGGACTCGAGGTCTGAGAATATTAGCCTGTCATTTTCCCTACCCTTAAAAGTTTATTTTGCCACGAATATTATTACCAATATAACATAATTGATGGGATTAACAGACTAACAACAGATTGTTGCAAATATTAAAACCTTTTCACAAACGCTTGCAATGAACCCTATCCAATGACAGAGAGTCTTCGAATTACGACTGCCTGCCTATTATAGTTTTAATGACACCCAATTTTATGATGCTTTTTGCGTTGGCTGTTAAGTGAACCCAAGTAGTCATAACGGTGAATGCTGCAGTGGTTAAACGAGCCCATTATTTGGTAGTTTTGCCAAGTTTTGCTGTAGTTTTGTTAAGTTTTGCCTTACTAAGTGCTGGTGTTTTTTGTTTTTTTTTAAAAGAATACCATCATAAAATGAGGTCAGCCATCTTCAATACCTAAGGAAATATGGCATTTTGGGGGGCGGACGCACCTGGAAGACACGGTCTAGGCTGGGAGGGGTCCCAGCTGGAGAGTAGATGGGCTCCAAGCTGGTGAATTCTTCGGCAAAATTTCGCACGTCCAACTCGTGGCGGATGAGGGGTTTAAACGGCGGCCTGACCCGGCGCGCTGCTAGTTCAACCCAGTCCAGAGCCTGGAGTGGGGGTGGGGGGGAAATATTGGGGAGAAGATATAACTAGGGTGCAAAGATAAAAAGCAGCTCAGTTGTTTCCCGACCTCAGCAATTTCAAGACGGGTGGACTTCGACTCCCAGAATTCCCCAGCTAACATGCTTGAAGATGAGTGAACTTTGACTCCCAAAACTCTTGACTGGAGGATTCTGGGAGCTGAAGTCCGCCCACCTTCAAAGTCCCTGAGGTTAGCGATCCCTGCTCTAAATAAAAATAAAACCCCAACCAAGCACAACAAAAGCAGGCGTTGTGCAGTGACAATCACTTCTTCCAATCCTTTGCGTGCACAATTTTCTGGGAAAAGCTGATCAGATATCAACCCTGCTCAGCACCTCAAAGGCGGGCGTAGGACCCGCCAACCTTACCCTGAAGAAGGGGTGCTCTTTAATCTCCTGGGCCCCCGTCGGGCCGGAGCCCAGGCGTTTCTTGGGGTCTTTGCACAGGAGCTTCTGCAGCAGGTCGCGGGCCTCGTGGCCGATGAGTGACGGGAAGGGTGGGCTGCACTTCAGGATCCGTCTAGAATAGCAACAGCAACAGCCCTTAGATACCACTTTACAGCCCTCTCTAAGCAGTTTACAGAGTCAAATGAGTCCTCATTTTAATGACTTCGGAAGGACAGATGGCTGAGTCAACATTAAGCCGGCCAGGATCAAACTTCCTGGCTGTGGGCAGAATTAGCCTGCAATAGTGTATTTTAACTCCTGTGAGGGAAGGGAAGGGAAGGGAAGGGAAAGGAAGGAAGGAAAGGAAGGAAGGAAGGAAGGAAGGAAGGAAGGGGAAGGAAGGAAGGAAGGAAGGAAAATAGCAATAGCACTTAGACTTATATATCACTTGCCAGTGCTTCACAGCCCTCTCTAAGCTGTTTACAGAGTCAGCCTCTTGCCTGCAACAATTTTGGGCCCTCACTTGACTGACCTCAGAAGGACGGGAGGCTGAGTCCGCCTTGAGCCTGGTGAGACTCAAACTGCCAAATTGCAGTCAGCCGGCAGTCGGCAGAAGTAGCCTGCAGTACCGCTCTCTAATCACTGTGCCGCCAAGGCTCAAGAAGTCAGAAACAGCAGGGGAAAAATCCCTTTTAGGTGTATAAAAATGTCCCCTCCTAGCCAGGCCTCTGTGCCTGGCCTGAATACGGACCTTCCGCTGGTCTGTTGATAGCCAGCAAGGAGTCACTGAAATATCACTTTTTATTATTATTTTTTTCATGGCTTTTGCTTGGATTATTATTTATTTTTCTCCCTGGGAATCAAACTACGTCTGTCGACTTCAAGCTCTCTCTCTCTCTCCCCTACTCCTTCCATCACTCCTGTATCTGGTTTGGTTTTGCCCCTCATTCCATTGGCTACCTGCCCCCCTCCCTGTCTCCCCCAAATCTTCCAGCTTCCCCCCCACCTCACCTGGAGACCTCCGCCTGCGAATTCTTCTCCCCTTCGAGCGTGAAAGGAGACGCGCCAGTCAGGAGTTCAAAAACCAGGATGCCCAAACTCCACCAGTCCACAGACTGCAAGGGGGGGTGGGGAGAAGAAGGCAACTCAGGACTGGTACAATACAGGGGGTCCTCGACTTACGAATGTCCGTTTAGCGACTGCTTGAAGTTCCAACAGCATTGAAAAAAAAAAAAGGGACGGACAGGCGGTCCTCACGCTTACGACTGACACGTCATCCTGATGGCCACATGATGAAAATTCGGGCAACCAGCCTGCATTTAGGATGGTTGCCGTGTTCTGGGATCGTGTGATTTCCCGCATTGGCGACCTTTTCTGCTGGCTTCCAACGATCAAAATTAACGGGTGGGGAATCTGGATTCACTTAACAACTGCGTCAGGATTCCGGTGTTACCCCCATTTAAATCATGAGTCTTGAGCCGAACGTCCAAAACTTAAGATTTATTAGGAGTAACCATGCCAACACTGCCTGGATGTAGCCGACTCTGAGACACATAATGCACTGTCGCCCTTGACCCTGGTTTTCCCCCCTCCCCTAATATAATCCATATTCTCCAATGGGACACAACCATAGCCCAGAGTCATCAATCATGTTCTCCAGTTAGAATTTTGCATGGCAGAAACTTCGGTCACCTAGTTACTATCTTTGAAAACATTTACGGAATGCACTTTCAGTTTGCAAGCTGTCACACTGCTCCCCCTCCTCCCTTTCTGTTGGCAACTCTAACAAGAGCATATAAATATAAATATAATATAATATAATATAAATATAAATGAACTGACAAACCATGTGATGCATTTAACAACTGGCAAAAGCAAGGCCATAAAATGGGGATGATTCACTTCACAGACTTAGCCATGTTAAATGCTGGTCCCGATTTTGGTCGTATGTCGAAGATTACTGTATTCTGCTCCCTTCCACTTGCTCCCCCTAAGGTATGCCTTCCCCTCTACTGGAAAAAAAGCTTTTCCACCGTGACTTTATCGAAAGCTTCTGCACAGACCCATTAATGCTGCCTCCTTTTTCCCCTCTGATACTTGAGAAACCTGCTTTCTGACCTCTGGCCATTCTGGCGGAGAATTTTATGCCAAGCATCTCACCTTCCCGTGTCCACTTTTGCTGCGTACAATCTCGGGGGCCATGTATTCGATGGTGCCGCAAAACGAGAAGGTCCGTTCTTTCTGTGGCAAGGGGAAAGGAAAAGAAAAGGAAAGAGAGAGAGAGAGAGAGAGAGAGAGAGAGAGAGAGAGAGAGAGAGAGA